AAAGATGATAGTTTAATACAGTAGGGATAGGAGAATGGTTAGAAATTTTAAGGAAAGCTGGAGCCTGCATTGACACAATGTGAATACAGGCCTTGAAAGAAAAGGGGAAAAAAGAAATCTGAGGAAAGATTTTGATCTCACTAAAAAAAAAAAATTGGGTAATTTTTTAGAAATGCCTTAAGATGCACTGGTAGGGTTAAGTTAGAAAGATAAAAGGAATTGATTTGGGTAATTCAAAGTAATAAAGAAGCAATTATGGGGGCTGTGGGCATCACCATGACTTTTTTAATGAGCCAATTAAAAATAACGGAACCTTGTGAAAAATGAGGTTTAGTTATTACCACTAGTAATTATAAATTAGAAATTGACTGGCTTGAACATTTTGCAATTGCAGTATATCAGAAAATTTGATCAGTCTTCATATGTACAAAGGGAATAATAATAATAATACCACCACCTACCTCCCAGGTTGTTGGAGGAATTGATTTTAAAGTGCTTAGTATAATGAGTGATGTATGAATGTTGACTATTGTTAATGAGTTTTAGATTAAATGATATATCAAAGATAACATAGATGATTTTCTAAGAAGAATAAGTTAAAATTTTATGTAGCTGAATACTTTTTTCTTATCTTTTAAAATTTATTAATCACTTTTTAGTTTTCAACATTCACTTTTATAAGATTTTGAGTTCTAAATTTTTTCTTCCTCTCCAAGATGGCATGCAATCTGATATGGGCTATACATGTACAATCATATTAAACATATTTCCACATCAGTCATGTTATAAAAAAAAAACAGGACAGAAAAACCACAAGAAAGAAAAAAAAAGAAAATAATATGCTTCCAGATGCATTCAGATTCCATAGTTCTTTCTTTGGATGTGGATAGCATTTTCCAGCATGAGTTTTTTGGAATTGTCTTAGATCACTGTATTGCTAAGAGCTCAGTTTATCAAAGTTGATCATCGAACAACGTTGCTGTTCCTATGTACGATGTTCTGGTTCTGCTCACTTTACTCAGCATCTATTCATATAAGTCATTTCAGATTTCTGAATAGATATTCTTCAGGCTTCCAATTTTCTTGTATTGTGGAATTTGGATGAATAATTAGGAAAATATGTTTTAAAACATACTGTTACATGAAATTTTTCTAAGACATTACAAAATTATGTTAGAGAGGCTATTTCCTTATTGAGTTATTGAAGTGAATGTGGTAAGTCTTTAAAAAAAACTGTAGTAGTGAAGTGCTTTTGCCTTTAATTCTAATATTATAGATCACAGAGGCAACTGATAGGGTGTTTACATTATAGGAGATCATACTACAACAGTTTTTCATTATGTTAATATGATAATAATAACCTCATAAAGGGAGAATAAGTGGGAGATGTGACTTAATGAGAGATGTGACACAATTTTCAAAACTGGATTAAGAATTTTACATATAAAAATTGCATTGATAATTGTGAAGATGAAATTATTTTGCTATTTGAAGCATCTATCTGATAATTTTGAGAGGGAGAAAGATTTTTCCAATTCAGGCCCTCATGATGTTACCACTAAAATTCTCTGAAGTTTCAGGTGAATTTTGTGTTCTTAATGTGATGATTCTTCTTATAGTTCTATTTTATATTGAGTTTATATTGTTTTCCTACATGCTCTTGGAACCTGAGAAGAAAATCTAGAAGGAAGAAGCCCCTTCAGAGCTGTCCTAAGAATGTGGTTGGTTCCAGAAATGTACTTCTGTTACTTCCTACAACTACAAAGCAGGCTAAAAGAACTCCACAGTACAGAACAGATCTTTGAACTTTTTCATCCATATCAAGGACTTTCAGAGAACCTATGGAATTCAACAAAGGACTTTGTTCTCTTTTCTCCATGTGCCATTACCTCTATATCAAAGGAGACTGCCCCATGACAATTTTCCCATGTGCCAGCCATAGGTAATAAGAATTTAATCTGCAGGACAGTCCACTCACTTTTGGAAATTATATCACTACCATCAATCCTAGCACTATGGCCCACAGCCCTTTCATGTGATAACTGGGTAATGAATAATGCTGTATATACATAACGCATAATCAGGTATGACGTAAACGGCTCATTGGGCCCCATAGATGTTGGGTCTGTTGCCAGCTGTGTGCCATGTAAGCACTCCAAATCATGGATGCCTATTTCTGTTATCACCAAAGCTAATGGGAGAAACTGCCCCTCATATAGTCTAAGGGGGGGTAAAAGTTTCCTAGTAAGAATGGATATAGCAAAGAGGTCAGAATAGGATCACCAACTGATATCTTGATTAAAGAATCTCCTTTACTTGAACAAGCTACTGTTTCCCTTTCCACTGTTATGCAGACTTCTAAAGATATGTTAGTAGAAATGAGGCAAACTGCTCTGACTTTACAGTCACACTCAGACCTTTTAGGGAGACTGTTAAAACCACAGAACACCTGAAGAAGTTTGATTCAGTGTTCAAGTGACCCATAAGGAAATCATTTTCTTTGGATCAAAAGGGGGAACTGAAAAGGAAATCATTTAGTATTGATTACTTTGATTTATTTTTAGTTTGATAATAGGATTAAACTCCTTTCCTGAGGAAAAGCTAGCCCTAACAGCTAAGGCAGACTAACACAGATATTGTCTTAAGTCTAGATTACCTATAGATTTAATGAATAGATTGAGAAGACTTTATCATTTAGTTGCAGATAATTTTGCGTTGACATAATAAAATATCATAGAATTACTCTTTTTAACGGCTAAGTTTCCCTTTTCTAGCAGAAGAAAGTTGATGGAAGCTGGAGAAAGGTTAGCCAGAGGTTAAGTTCCTCTTTCTAGTCTTAGCGGATAAGCTCCTTCAGAATCCCCCTCCCCAGTAGAGTCTAAATTGAGTAATGGAATCTTCTAAGGAAGATGGAGATTGGGCTGAAGGTGTGACTAACCACTGACCACAAGTTCCTCTTTTCACAGTATGCTTTCTGCTTACAAAGGGCACCAAATGTAGGGTAAGGACTTCTGGGATAGGATTCAGAAAGGCTAGGAGAAGCTAACTAGTCAAATGTCATGCCTTGTCCAATTGAATTATATTCAAAACAAGTATGTCTTTTTTTTTAAATTCCTCTCTTTTGTTATAATAAAATCAGCTCTGTAGATCACTCCTTGACTCTGACCTCCAGGAGTCAGATGACCTGATTTAATATGCAAATTCTAGCCTTGCAAATTAAATCATAGAAGCTAGGTAACTTTGTCCTCAGGTTCCTTTTATTTCAGATAATTAATTTTAACACTCCTATGTCTGGAATTTCCTTCTTCATTTTTGCCTCCTGGCTTCTTTCAAGTCTCAGCTAATGTTCAACTTTCTTCAAGAAATCTTTAGGCTCTTCCTTCTGGGACTATTCCAAATTTATCCTGTATATAGCTTGTTTGTACAAAGCTGTGAGCTTCTTGAGAACAAGGACTGGTTTTTTGGGGGTTTTTTTGCCTTTTTGTCTTCAGTGCTTAGCACACAGCAGGTGCTTCATAGATGGTAGATGATGAAACTAATATTAACAGATTCACTAGTTAAAAATGTAACAAACAAGTAACACAAAAAATCCTTACTGGTGACTATGTCTTTATGTAACTTAGCCTGTTAAATGAGACTGGACAACTAGCTGAGCAGGGCTATAGAGAAAGGTCAAGAGCACAGGTGAAGTGTGCACAGAGTTAAGTGCCTACACGTAATGACTGCAGTTATCAGGTAGAGAAGGGAAAGGCACAGAGAAGGTCAGTTGGGAAGATGGAGAAGACAAAAACTGACTACTCATATTTTTTCTCTAAAGCTGGCTGCCACCTAAGTGAAAAAGCACTTTAAAAAGTACAAAGCTCGAAACGCGTAGCACTGTTATTACTGTCATCACAAAAATGCTTTATGCAGTATTATATATTAGCTATGCACTTTTCAAAGAAACAGAAGAGATCAAGGTGACCTTAAAAGTTAATTTGTACATTTATATTTGAGAATTCAGTTTCCTAAAGCACATGATTCTAGTAAGAATGTTTTGATGTAAAATCTCTGAGAATTATCTTGACTTTCTTTAAGGAAAGGGTGTATACTAAGTAGTGAGTGTAACTGATATAAATGCAAGAGAAAACTATTTTATTTCAAAAGGCCATTTCTAATAATTATACTCAATTTGGTACAGAAATTATATTCAACTCCTAGAACTGCTATCTTTTAAAAAGTGTTAGCTCCCTGCAGTATTTTAAAACTGATTTTACAAGGTAAAATATACAAGTGGTAGAGGTACAAATTAATATACAATTTAGACTATAGAATTAGGCCTTATAGCAAAGTTACAGAATCTCAACCCTCAAGCTCAATTCTGACCTTAATTTCATCCAGAAAGTTGGGATGCCTTTGGATTCCTGTCAGTTCTATACCCTGACTCTCTAAAACAGGTGTTCTTGGCAGTCTGATGCAGCCTCTTCAGAATAATATTTCCAAATAAATAAAACAAAATATATAGTATTACAAAGGAAACTAATTATATTGAGTTACCAAAATATTAAAAACAAATTTACAGAACCCAGGTTAAAAGTTCTAAAGTTGTGATTACCACAAACAACTGATATCTGAGGTTCTTCAGGTAGTATTCATGTCCTGAAAACCTACGAAGAGGTATCTCAGTATTTTAGTAGTTTCCTATAAGCAGAATAACTGAAGGTAAATTTTGGTAGTAGACTGCAGAATTCTGGATTTGGAGTCAGAGAACCTGGGTTTAATTTGGGCACGTCACTCAGCTGCAGTCAAAGAGGCTTGTTTCCTCATCTGTAAAACAAGGGAGTTGGACCACAAAGCCTTTAAGGCCCCTTTCTGGTCTAAATCTATGGTCGTATAAATATACGGAAACTAGTGTAGCATGGAGCCAGTTGTGTTGGGACGGGCACAGATTCTGATGGGCAGGAGGGTGATGAGGGCAATAAAGTGGGTTAGACCAAAGTGGGGAGGGTTCCAAAAAGCGGAGGCTGCTGAGATATATAGATGCTGGCAAAGAGGCAATCAGGAATGGGGATAAGATTAACTCAGGTAGAGTTAAAAGTGACTACTTCAAATACTTAAGGAGTTTGTGCTGGGGGAGAGTGGGAGCAGTGAGAGGGAAGTTAAGAGCTTGTTAACACTGAGAAAGCTTTGTTGGGGACTAGCTGGAAGTTCTTCATCTTATTTCTTTTCCTTTTGATGGTCTCTTTCCCTTCTTTCTAGACATACATTTTCACATTGTTCTGTTTTCCCTCAGATCCCTGATCTCTCTTTCCTCTCATTCAAACCCAAACAGCTCTCCTGTCTTGCTGACTAGGCTCTTTCTACTATGCCATATATTTAATTTGCTGTAAAAAGGAACCAAACCCATTAAGTTATGTTTTTTGAAATTTCTTGTGGGACTTGCTTTTTTTTTGTTCCTATTAGTAATTGATCCTTGATAGTTATTATTATTGCTAATAATAATAAAGGCGCTATACTGTTCCCTTAATAGTTTTTTAATGAATTGAGCATTCAGAATAAGTTTGTAACACAGTTAAAGTATATTCAGTAATCATTTTTCAATTGACCTTATTTAAAGTCAGCTTGCATGAAATGGGATCTATTTGTAAATGGGTCACTATTTAGTTCAACATTTGTCAGCACTGCTATTATACAGCTAAGATTTCTAATGTTTTTAATTTGCTTACAGTTAATTTCAGAAAAATAATAAAGGACTAAAATCCCAAAACATAAGACATTCTTTTTCATGTTAAAAGAAACCACTATTTCACAGTAAATGTATGTTGACTGAATGCTCAATAAAATTAGCTTAATTTTATAAAACACTGCCAAGAATGTTTCACAGAGGTTTTCTCCTTTATCATATATAGTAAAATAAACATTTGCTCACAACCTGATATCAAGGGGAAAAAGTCTATATTATAGCTGATTTTAAAAGTACAGTATAATTGATTTTACAAGTTTTTATGCTTTTGTATTTGTCAGAGACCTCTTTAGAGTAAGAAATTCCCTCAAAGACTAAAAAGATATTAACATTAAGCTGAAAGATATAGAAGGTAATTCAAAAACATAAGAACTTTTTTTAGTTTGCTAAAAAAGCCTCAACTTTGTTAATGATTTACTGTTGGATGATTCTGCTTGATGCTTTCTCCATAAAACACAGAGCAAGATCCAGTTTTCTCAATGCCCTGGAAAATCTGACAAAGTATATGAATACCTGGATTCAGAAAACATCAACTAAGGTTAGTTGCTTAGCACATCACAAGTATTTATAATAAGGCTCGAATAAGTACTGAGGAGCTACCGTGAGTTCCCCATGTAAGTTATCAAACTTTTTCCCCTTACGTTCCCTCCCTCCCATAGTCCTACAGCAAAATATTCACTAGGTCTTTTTTTTGGGGGGGGGGCCAAAGGGAGAAAGGGGAGGATGTCTGACCCTACTTTTTAATTCCTGTAGGGAACTCCAGGTGTGAAAATTCCTTTCCTCTAATCATGCAGATCAGCAGCAATTCGTCAATGATTATAAAGTTGCCTGCCACTCAGATTTGATAAGTCCTTTTCGACTCCAAAACCATCTGTGTCTATGCAGCTATCCAACATGGCATGCCTGTTTCAACTCCATGGAACCAAAATGCACTTGCTCTGGGTACACTACGTTGCTCCCCACTTTCTTCCAACCTTTTGTGTGCTGTCTCCCCCCATTAGACTGTAAGCTCCTTGAAAGCAGGGACTGCTTATTTTTATTAACTGTATCCCTAGTGCTTATCACAGTGCCCGGCACGAGACAGGTGCTCAATAAATGTTTATGGATTGGATACAACCAATAATGCCCCTAAATCGATAAGGATTCCTCCCAAATACACACATTTTTGAAAAGTCAAATCTATCACTTAAAAAAAAAAGCAAGGAAACACCTACGTGGTACCCGCATTGCTGTCTGGCAATAGGAGCTTAAGTTTTTCTTTCAAATTTTTTTTAAGAAAAACATAAAACTATTTTATAGGATGGCCATTCATTATCAGTAAGGGGGACTTACTTTCTCCAAAGCTAACTTCCAATAGACCCTACTGCCCGACACCATAGTAAGGTACATTAAGCCAACTACACTTCTGCCAGCACGAGAGGTAAAATCTTAGAGCCCCGGGAGATCGGACCCAAGCCCCGGCCGTCGGGCAGGTAAGTTATGGGACGCGGGCGAAACACCAACACACTCGCGCAGGGACTCTGGGTGGGGTACCCCACCTCTGCCACACGCTACTGCACATGGGGCGCAGGGAGCACCCCAGCGGATTGCAAGGGTTCACACTTCTTTACTAACGTTTCACACTTCTTTCTCCTGGAGGAAAAAATGGGGTTGGAAACAGCACAGTCTCCGCACGTGAAGGCTGGGCAGCCTTCCAAGACAGGGAGCTTTAGACAGATTGATGGAAGTCCTCTTTCAGGCCGGAGGCAAACTCCAGGAGGAGAAGCCTCGGGTCCCGGCGGAGGGGGAGGGGCGGCGGCAGCGCATCCCGGAAAGTCCACCAGGAGCATCCCATCCCGGGAGAGCGGGGGCGGGGCCTAGAGCTGGGTCCTACCAACGACGGAGTGCCTGGGAGGGGAGGTGTGGGAATACGGGAACTACCATTCCCAGGAGAGGGGAGGGAACTTCCTTACATTGTAGCTAAAGAGGGGGTCGCGGAACCTCCAGGGGGCGTAAATACCGCTCGAAGAAACTAGGTAGATGCTTTTCAGGAGACGCCCATTACCTTTCCCAGTCTGGCTATCAAAGCTGAGCTTCCAGAGCGACACTTCGGAAAACTGAAACGGAAGCAGAGAAGCCGCTACAAGCAGGTCCACTAGTTTTGGAGTTCTAGTAGAGGATTTCCCGCCCGCTCGGGCGTGACCCCGGAAATGGTTGCGGAGACTTCCGGGTGGTTGTCACCGACGCTCCCGCGTAGTCGCTAAGGAGGAGATAGCTGCTCCTGGATCTGGAGCTGGGGAGGGTCAGGAGGGTAAGTGATTGGCGCTTACCTGCGCTTTCCCCGGCGGTCTTGTCCTGCCAGGCGTGATCCCTTTGGATGGGACCGGACTGCAGTGCTAGGGCATGCTCGACCCCGAGACCCCGAGTCAGCGAGCATTAGTTAGGCGCCTACGGTGTGCCAGGCACTGTGCTAAGATGCTCATCTCTAGCTATTACGGAAGCGTCTTCCCGCTCCCTCTTTCAGAAGGTTGGTAGGAAGTTGCCTTCTCCGTCCCTCCGGCCAAGTGTTGAGCTGGTCGAGTCCGTAGCTCTGGGACACCTCGACCCCACTGGTCACCCCCCGTGCACCCCCACGCCCTCTTCTTCACCGACCTCGTGTCCCGGAGGGCGCTACTAGGATTCCCTCCTCCCCATCCCCCATTTCCAGGCTTCAGTATCCTGCCGTTGGGTTTTGCAGACATCCAGACACAGCGGACACCTTGGTCCCCTGGGGTCTTTGTGCATCTTCACTTCTGGCCTGGTCGAGGTGCCCACGCTTACGAGGAAAACTACCCTGTGGAGTTGGGTGCCAGTGGGGCATTTAGGGATGCTGGCTGAGGTCGGCGCTTCGAGTCTACCTGAGCAGTATAATATGGGGTCCATTTCCGATTTAGGCCCCTGGTGTTCTGGGTGCGCTTTCAGTTCTTTATAAGACATGACCTTTATCTTCTGAGTGCATCCTAATAAAACAAGGGAAGCTGCGTAATTTTTCGGGGTGTGTGTGTGTTTTGAATGTGAATCTTAACATATGGAAACCAGAAGTGTAGAGGTTATAATTCATTGCACTCCAGACTTTATAGAGGAGGTGAGATCTGAGGGAAGTTAATGGATTAGGATTCAGAAAGCAAGGGTGATTATAAAGCAAAAGTGCTTCATTCATTTGGTAATTTAAATAATTTTAAACTTATATGTAGTAAATCAATGGACTGTGGTGAGTACTGTATTCCTTCTGTAACTCACTTTTTTTTAAAAAAATAAAAGTAACACTATTCTGGCCATTATGGTTTATAGCTGGCTACTTCCATAAAGTAAACTGAACCAATTCCCCTAATACCAAATCACTGAATAGAACTTGCAGGGATTATGCCTTTTCTAAGTACAGGCATGGTGATGGACTGCATGTCTGACATTAGCCTATTTATGTGGAAAAGTTCATAAGACTGGCTTTAGGGTGATGAGATTTTTCAGTTATAGGAACATTCCAAGAGAGATTATGATCTCTGTGTCTGGAGGGAATACCTATATATGGGCAAGATCATAACTCTGTGAATGAAGTATGAGTAAAAGAAAAATGCAAAATGTTAAGGTAGTGAGCATAGAGTAGAAGAAAAGCACTGGTTTTGGAGTCAGGGGACCTGAATTTAAATTCCAGCTATATTGTTGACTGTGAGCAAGTTATTTTGTTTCTCTGGACCATTTTCCTCATCTATTAAAGGAAGAAGTTGGACTTGATGGAAGGAACTTAATGGTTCCTTCCAGCTCTGAATCAATGATCTTGTGGCTCACAACATTAGACAAAAAAGCCCCATTTCCCCATTCATCAGAAATAACCTAAAAGCCATGAGGCCTTGATTCTTAGTCTTTATTTTTGACACAAATTAGCAGTGTGACATCAGCAAGTCATTTCAACTCCCTATGTTCTGGTCTTCTCATCTGCAAAATGAGGAAATTAGATGAGCTACTCTAAGGTCCTTTTTAAGTTCTCAAATTATGAGACTTTATTGATGTGATGGTGATCTTGAAAACTCAGAAGACATCATGGTTTTTTTGTTGTTATTATTTCATTTTATTATTATATTTTATTATTATTTAATTTTTATTTTATTGATAAATAAAATATTTTTTTATTTTATTGATGTCTTTTATTTTTACTCTGTATTAATTTCTGAATTTATATCCTGAAAATATATTCAGATGTATATTCGTATACGTCTCCCTTCTCCCCAACAAAAGCATCAAGCGTTAGGGACTAGTTCAGAGTCAAGAAGAACTAGATTCATATTCTGTCTTTGTCAATTCCTTGCTGTGGTTGACCTTGGGTATTTGGGGTTATGCTTAAATTTAGCTTCGTCCAGGGGTTTGAAGGTTTTGTTGTTGTTATTTTTAATAATGCAACATGTGGTCATGAGCCATTACATCCAACTTCAAACTAATAAGTGAACATTGAATGTGTGTATATACAAACAAACAGAAATGGGTGTGTGTGTGTGTGTGTATTTCAAGAATTAAAAGGATAGAAAATACAACTTCCTTTCACTAGTCATCAGATCTGGAACTCAGAGGGAGTGCCACCTGCAAGCCGTTGGAACTCAGGAAAAGATTTCTGACAACCTTCAACACCCTTAGGCTTAGCCTTTTATAGTTCTAGGTACCAGTTGTGTAAAGCACCAGGCAGAACTGAACTAAGGGTCTACAACAGCTCTAGGAGCTGGTCCAAGTGTGTGCTGCCCTGAGCAAGCCACTTAACTTGTGAGTGCTGTGGGCAGGTGTGTTGACAGTGGTAGAATCACAGTCAGCCTTAGCCAAATAGAATTGGAACTTCACAGCGTTTAGTGTCTCTCTTGTAAGGTAACCTTTTCCAACCTTGGTGTGATTACTCATTTTTCTAATTCTTGTACTCAGATGGAGGTGCTTGTATCATCCATTAACAAGTATTTATTAAATACCTGCTATGTGCTAGGCACTGATAGGTTACTGAGATAAAAAGACAGGCCCTGTGCTCAAGAAACTTATTCTGTTGTGGTGATGATATACATAAATAGGATTTTATACAAAGTAATTTTAGGAGGAAGGCAATAGCAGCTGGGATATCTGGAAAGGCCTCACATAGGAAGTAGTATAGGAGTTGACCTTTGAAGGGAGCTAGGAATTCTAAAAGGCAGATGTGAGGAGGCAGAGCATTCCAGGTGGGGTGACTGGTAGATTTGCATGTTGATTCTTCCCTTGTTTGTTAGGACCACTTTCATCTGCTTTCTTCTTGTCATTCTTTAGGGGGTTTGCAAAGGAGGCAAAAGGACAAAAAAAGACCACAGAATTGCTGAATTTCAGAATAGTCCATAGGCTACAACCTATAGCTGAAAAAAATAACTCCTATTATAACATAACCTTCAAATGGTCAAACAACTTTTGTTTGAAGAACTTCAATGAAGTTCATCCGCTACCTCTGAGGGCAACCTATTCTATTTGCACTAGTTTTCAGTGTAATGATATTTTTCTTGATGTAGAGCCTAAATTTGCCTTTTTGTAACTTCTACTCATTGCTCCTGGTTCTAGCCTATGGGTCACTTCAGAACTAGTCGAATCCTTCTTCCATATGATGGTGCTTCAGTTAGCATGTCCTTGAGTCTTCTTTTCTGACATGCCCAGTTTTTTCAACTGATCGATATGAATTTGAGATACTTCAAAGCCTTCTTCTGGAAACTACACTGTCATTCTTAAATAGTGGTGCTCAGAAGTAGTGCCAAGGTCTCCCACTGCATCCTGGGCCATTGCCAGTCATCTTGACTTATGTCTTGTGGCTCCCCATGACTCTGGAGGAAAGAGTGATTGATGGCTTTGCACAGCCCTGCCTCAGTTAAATCCAGTTTACTAGAAAGTCGAGATATCACCTTCATGATGTCATTGGTCCTCTTTGAGAATGAAGGATAAACAACAACAATCAGAAGTAAACACAGTACTCCAAATGTTGTGTGATCATGACAGAGTATGATAGGGCTATCACCTCCTTTTTCATGGAAACCAAGTCTCTCTTAATGAAGCCTAAGGTAGCTTTTGCTTTCTTTCTTTCTTTTTTTTCTTTCATTTTTCTTTTTGGCTGCCATAACAATACTTTTACTATCCGGTAAAACTCTTAGATATTTTTTGGATGAATTGCTATCCAGCCTTACTTGTCTTCTTGTACTTCTGAAGTTGATGCTTTTGAACCCAAGTGTCTTACATTTTCTTTCTTAAAATTAATTTGTTATAGTAGCTAAAGAGTTGGCTTTTGACTAAGAAAGAAATGTGTTCAAGTCTGGCCTCTGACATTAGCTTCCCTTTTGGGGAGCATGGAATTCAGTAGTTTTGGAGCTGAGACACGAATTTGAGGAATGATAAAACTTCCTTTATGTTAAGAGGAGCTGGGTGTGAGAAGTATGGGTTGCTGCGGCTAAAGAGGATTCTGTGCTTCACTATGACTTGACATTTCATCTGCTTATGTTCCTTACTTAAAAAAATAATAAAAATTTTACCTAAGAAATCTTTTTTGAAATTGTAGATTTGATTTAAGATTTTAAAATATTGCAACTCTATGATCTCTTCCTTTATTTCTCAAATACATAAATACGTTACATTTGGAAATGCACTCAAACAAAACAGACTAATCAGCAGCTTTAGTTTATCTTCAGCCCAAACTAAACAGTGGCTTTATGAAAAAGCTAAGGAAATAATGCAGTTGGCTGACAAAGCAACAAAGGTTCCAAATCAACTCATGATAGTGGTATAGAGGAAACATTATTGGATTACATGCCAAAAGCCTTGCATTTGAATGTGACCACCATTCCTATGTCCTTAGACAAGTCACCTAAATTCTCTGAGCCTTTGTTCCCTTGTCTGTAAAATGAAAAGCTAAGAGCCCTTGCACTGTAGCTTTTAACTGCAGTAGTCAAGTGGGTTTTATGCCTATGATTCTACCTCAAAGGGTTAGTGATGCAAAATGTTAGTGTAATTGTAGTCATTGTTTTCACCTTTGTGTTACCTGGCATAATATAATGAACATTTTTTTCATCAATGGACCATCACTTTTATTTATTTTTACAATATATATATATTTTTTTCATCAGCCAAAATCTGCTTTCTTATCCTCCCGCCCCAACTCTCCTTACCAACTGAGAACACAAGAAAAACAAACTCATTTTAAATATTCACGGTCAATCAAAACAAATGTCTGCATTGGCCACGTACAAAAATAAGTTGTCTCATTCTTCATTCAAAAAGTCCTCTCTCAGGTGGGTG